AATATCGGAACGCGGGTCTTCAACTGGACGCGGCGTTTACAATGACGAGAGTGCATGTGCACTCGACGTGGTATCTAGAATATCGGAAGACTGATAACGTGGGCGGGAGCGCGATATGTACAACGGAGGATTGCGAAATCCCGGGGTTACGGTCGCGAGAACCCTCGCTGCGAGAACGAGCACGCTCGACCGCGCGGTGCCGTGGCCGTCGGGGTGGATGTGATGGAGCTCGGGGACATTCTGAGAACCCTTAGTAGAGGCCCAAACGCTGGACCTCGCTTCTGCGCGTCGCCCTAGGATCGGGAAGGTAGGCTTCGTCAGGAGTAGCGGAGAGCCGTGGTAGAGACGAAGTGCCGTCTCGTCGAGCGCGCCGGCTTTTATATCGCTCGGCGCGGCGAGCTTGGCAGGGGGGAGGCCGATCGTCAGGCGAATGGCGTGGTGGTGGGAGCGGCGCGATCCCGTGCGCTCGCTTCGGCGGGGATCGGCTCGCTTCGGCGCTCGTCGGCGTCGTGCGGAAAGGCACCGGTGCGGCGGGTTTCCCGCGCACACGGTGCATTTCGAATATTAAAAAAAATCGTTCGGCGGCATCCGGCGGGTGGTGCGCGGGAACGATGCTTTGAAAGACGCATCGTTACAGAGATATAATATATTATCGTATTTTATATTTATGCTTTCTAACGCACATAAACTCTTTGCCTATAGGGCGAAACAATTAAGGTATATTATTGTACAGTTGTATATACATAGTAATATAAAAGCGATAGGTCGGATGACGCGCTTTAATGACGAAAACAGTGACTTAATCTGGTACAAAAAACTGTCGTTAAACAGGCGTTGACAGAGGGGTGGTTGTGGAGAGAAGGGCAACGCCCTACCTTGCGTAGGAGTCTTGCTACGCTTTTCTGTATCTCGTTTTTTCGAGGAGACGCTTTGTGGCGCTGTGATATACGATGATGACGTCACTGTAAAGGCAGCGTGACGTCATCACTCGCGCTATTTTCGCTATTATTTTCGAGGTGAGGCACGAAATACTATTGGCGCTTAAGCTGCGTTCGGGGAGCTTGCTATCACTGTCGCGCTATTGGCTCTTCGAATGAAGTTCATAGCGTTTGCGTTTATAGCGTTAATAGCGTCTCCCCGAATGCACCCTATATAAATCGTATACGTCAAGTGAATGGAACGTCCTACCTTGCGTACGGGGCCTCGCTACGCTTTTCAGTCGTAATATTTTTAGTATATCGTAGACTCATCTGTTTAGTAAGGCCAAGATTTACGACATACCTATATTCATTATGATTCAAGTGATACATTATAGGGGTATCGAGGTTGCATTCCTGGTCATTTCTTATTGGCTCAATGCACGTTACGTCACTACACGTGATGTCATCATGCGCAATGGTACACCTTTATATTTACATCATGCTCATGGCAACCATAAGATCTTGAAAACAATTAACTTTGTCCACTATATTTAACTTGACAACTTCATCCCCAAGTCGGACCTGAAAATGAAAATTTATCAATTATACTTGTAAAATATTACCAAAGTTAATACAATTTTATTTTATTATGGATCAGATATAAAAATTACCTCTAAGTTCATGTCCTTTCTTACTATTAATGTTTTTGTTGTATATTTATCAAAATCACCGTAGTAAAAAAAAATGATGCCGTCAGCTAGGTAATAACCCTATTCCCCATTTAATTATCTCGCTGGAATGCTCTGGAGCTTCAAAGTCTCTTTTCAGTGCCTCGATGGTGTATTCTATTGCTTCGCTACCTTGGATAGGTAGTATGTCTTCAAACGGAGTAGAAACCTGAAAATTTCCATTTTTTTGTAGAGAATATCTCAAATATATTTTCAAAGCATAATTTATAACGATTTTCAACTTACACATAAACTTTCGTCTCCTGCATTCATGGACTCTTCTTCAAAATTATCTTGATGGACATCGAAAATACATAGTACACTACCTTGATTCAATTTAAATTTTTCACGTGGTATTTCGTTTATTGTTCCATCTTTCAAGACAGTTCGAAAAGTCCGCTCAACATCGTTGTCCTTGAAATGTTTATCGCAAATACGTAAATATTTTCGAGTATAGCGTTTTCCTTACTCAAAAACAGAGAAATCTTATCTATCCAGATTTGATTTTCATGAGAATCCTGAAAAGTGAAAAAATCAAACTGATTGTATGTTCTTGAGAAAATGATTGTTATTCATTTTTATTTCAATCAAATACACTTACCTTCGGAAATCCAAATAGCGTCCTTTTATTTGAATCCAAATTGGGACATTTACTCTCACAATTCACAATGCAACACACTTTAGACATGATTTCACTTTGTTTTAAACGGTTTGCAACAAACAAGAAGACTAGAGAACAAACAACGTAAAGATTCGAACTTATCCAGCACGTAGCGTAGTTCATGAATTGGCCGGCGACCATACTGCGAACAGCGCCGGACCACATTTTGACTCACCCCCACCACTGGAGTTCGGTCTCCTGGTCTCTAGTCTTCTTGGTTACTACATTTTCTTCCATTATAAGCCGCCAGAGTCAAAGGAGCATTTACACGATATTTTTAATTATTTCTCGCTTCGACTAATATGGGTATGATATAAGCTCTAACGTCATCAAAATTCACGAAAATATTTTATGAATACTTAGAATCGATGAATTTGAAGATTTTCTCTTCATCTCTCAACTGACTAGAGAGTATCTGTAGAACCTCCTTAAAAACTTTTGGTGGTTGCACGTTTCTTTAAAATTAAAAAATCGAAAAAACAAATTTTTAATCTTCTCTTAGCCCCCCCACTTTGACTGTGGTAATTTTTTTTTTTTTAATCGATTGGCGATTTATTGGCAATGTTTGGTACCGCATTGAAACCTTTTGGTAGTTTCGCGTTTTAAAAAGAAAGAATTAATTGTCAACAAATTTGTAACCTTTTTTAGCGCCTACACTTTGACTGTTGGGAATTTTAAATTTTTTTTTTACCAATCGTTTAGTGGTTGATTGGTAATGTTAAAATCTGTAAGTTATTGAAAATTTTATTTTAACATTCCAGTTATGTATATAGTGACGACTGCATACATTGTGGGCATTCAGGAGCGCATACGTATGTATGCGCTTAAGGTTCTTAGTTCGCTTAAGGTGAAATTTCATGGGCAGTGAAAAGTAGCAGCAGATCATACTGATTGGCTACAAAATAGAGAAGTTCTAGAAACTCGAAAACTTCTCTATTTTGCAGCCAATCAGTACGATCTGCTGCTGCTTTTCACTGCCCATGAAATTTCACCTTTAGTTCGCTATTTCGTGCATAGTCGCGCGTCGCGCTGTAGTCGCGCAATCGCGTTTGCGAGAACTCGCACAATTCGCGTTTTCGGGACGATAACAAATTTACGAATCAATTCGTCTCGCCGCGGTGACAAGCAGTGACAAGGTGACATAAATGTGGAGGTTTCCTGACAGCTCGCCGTAATAATGCGCGCGCGAACCGATTAAAACGGACAATCGAGCGCAATGATGACAAACGATGCCAATCGACGTGCCGGTGGATCGAAATATGCGAGGTACGTAACGTGTATGGGCGATCAATAAATTATTCACGCGGGGAAAATATCCCATTTATTTCGAAGCTAAACACTATTACGCGAGCGTTACTTCTGTAGTAACTTACGATAATTCCGTCGCGTAAACGGGATTTTGTAGTAACTTATGATAATTTACTACGCGTAAACGAGTGATATATCGTAAGTTACTACAGAAGTAACGCTCGTGTAAACGTAGGTATCGTAAGAAACTTGGCGAGGGTCGCGCGTTATTCCGTTATTAGACATTTATTGAAATTTATTATTTTTTTACAGCGGAAGGTTGGAACTGTACAATTCGGTTTTCTACAACTCGCGAGCAACAAAATGATGGAGAAAATCATTTTAAGAGCTGGAACCGATCCTTTCACCTTTTCTCTCGACCCCCTCATCCTCCCTTTCTGTTTCTTTCTTTCTCTCTCTCTCTCTCTTTTCTTTTCTCGATTTTATACACCTTAATTTCTGTTATTCTTTCTATACATATATAGGGCGTTTAATTATAATCATTAGAGTTAGATGTCTTATAGACACAAAGAGGTATTATTTCAACTTGAATCCCATATCTTTTATTTAAATTTCTGTATTTTTTCACATCTTAAGGTGTTTCAATGCTTTTCTTTTAACATATTAGATTATACACATAAATTTCTTGCACGTCTTGTAAAATAAATGCTACGAGTACAAAATATTCAAGTAAAAAATTTGATATTTCTTTTTATAGTACGTTGCACACATACACACATATATATATATATATACATGTATAGGTACGTATACACGGGAAAACAAATATAAAATTTAACCCTGTGCACGTTTTATAGGTAGACAAGTATGAAACGGTAAATATGCCTCATGGCTGGAGGCAGGAACAACAGCGAGCAAAATGGAAATTTAGACAAAACTCACCAGTGGCACGGCCATGATAGTCTCAACTCCTCTAGAACGTTTGAACCTTCTTTGAGTAATGAATTCAAGAGACGAAAGAGTGCGGAACAACGTCGCACTATTGTCAAAAATATTAGCCTATTGCAAGACGGTATTCTGAGGTAAAAAACAATGTTATATTTCCTATTTTAACAAATTAAAACACATTGATTGTGTCATAAGGCGTGTCATAATGCAAAACATCATGTATTTAAAATTTTTAAAACGTCATGTAAATGTAGAACATTAGATCACCTGATATACATTAGTGACATGTTTACAAATTCTCTATATATATAATATAGATGTATATCGAATAATTTTTTAATATATATATAATATATATGTATATGCCACTTTTTGAATTGATCCTCTTTGCACACGTTTATCCTTAATATTTTTTATGTCTTCGTGTAATCTCTTTAGCTATTTTATATACGCCAGATAAAAGTATCCACGTAATATATCTAAAGAGAAACGAATACATTAGAATTTCCAAGGACAGAAGCCTCAAGTAACATCTTTTATTGTAGAATATTTACGGATTCCTTGCATTGTGATCTTAATATAATACATGGTTACAAAATAATACGTATAAACGAGTGTATTGTTAGAGCAAGATCGCCACGCTTGTACCAAGTTCTCAAACCTTATTTCGTTTACACTAACAAAACGATCCAATGCATTCTTGATAAAACCGGACTTTTCCATCAGATTGAAGGTTTTGTAAGGTATTACTATACTGTATTATTTCAAGTATATAGAAAGAGTAAAATTTTTTTTAGAAAAAATAACTCCACTACGCACCATTTGTTTGCATGTGTTTTTGCCAACAGCTTTGCATTTGTTACAAGTGATACGATTCAAATACACGTCCTTGTTATGCTTTTTTCTTTTAGATAAATTATATTCTCATTTATTTATTTTTTTTACACAAACGTGTACATTTTTATGTAGGAGAATTTAGACGTCAAAATTTTTGGTTGTTTTCCATTTGCAAAGACAAAAATAAAATTATTTTTTCTCAGTATTTTCATTAGCATTTAATGAGATTTGCCAGATATATGGCTATTTATTTCGAGTAGAACAAGACCAAGTGTAGCACATTATCGTCATATTTCCTATTTAGAAAAAAAGGTCATGTTCATTTGCGACGAGTCTTGTGTCTTGGAAGATTTTATGCATGTGGTTATAATTTACGTGTAAATATCGGATGTATATTTGTCACGCATGTAACCTGCTATACCTATACCTCTCAACTCATTAAGGGCCGGTTGTTTCAACCTCGTGGTAAACTAACCAATAGTTGGTTCATACATGTGTTTTTCCTTAAAATAAAACAAGGATAGACATACAACATGATTTAATTATTAGTTAGTTTATCAATAAATTGGAACAACCGGCCCTCTCTGAGCATGATAAACTATCTCTGTGGCATTAATCAGAGTTCAATATCTATATCAATCGATTTTCTTTTTGTACGTTATTCAAGTACGCACATTATTATATATTTCTTTAGCTCGTGTTGTCCGCTATTAATATTACATATTTGTTTATGACGTACAGGCTTCTCTACGGTAATCTGGACTTTACTCGAGAAGAGCAGTTGTTGGTGAAAATCATTTTGAATACAACGTACAAGTGTCAGTCTTTAAATGACGTCGATACCGATATATCTCGTGTTGACAACAGGTTAGATTTGTTAATAAATAACTGATTTACAATACGTTTTAGCCTAGATTCTTGATTTTAGAGGCTGATAATAATATAGTTTTCAACTATGTAGAATCTCTTCGCAGGATATACGAGAAATGTCTAGCGTTGAACCATGACGCGCATCTGCAGGACGTAAAGGATTATGTTATAGCGAATGCGAGCCCTGCTGCATCAGAAATGGCCGATTCTGGTTTGGAAACAGGTTCGATAAGTCCACACGATACGACGACATCGGAGACGTCGAGCACGGACTTGGAGGTGCGAGCGGCAGAGTACATTTCCGCTACGAACGATGCGTCGGATCGGATACGTGCCGAGCGACGTCGCGACGACAAGTGCGATCGCGAGACATTTTTGTTGTACGATGAACCCTGCGAGTCACTCAACGATGGCGCGTATCGTGAAAAAAGCGCGATCCACGCTATATCGAATGATCGTAGCGTAACGCACCCCTCATCCCTAATGGAAGCGGAACGTCAGCTCGCGGACACGTCGAACAACGTCCAGGAGGCGAAACTGAATGCCGAAGAGATCTTCCAGTACGAGAGTCGGATGTTGAATGAGCCATTCTACGAATCGGATTGCGGCAGCGATGAAAACGAATCTTTCGAATTTATCGAGCCCATCCCTTCGGCGAGTGATGACCATCGCGAAGATACTTCCGCAAACTGTAACGTGGAGTGGAAAGCACAGTCCGATACCGAAGAATCGGAAAGCAGAACAGCTGAAACGAGCCGAGAATACGATCATTCTCGTTTTACTAACGCGACTGGTCGTAACACGTCCTCCACGAGCGGTTATTACTTCATCGATGCGTCTACCTTGAATGACGAGGTGGACATTGTGTCTACGAATGTAACGAGGAATCAGTACGGCAATGATAGTACATCGCCGTCGTGTCTAACGTTTTCCTCAACGTACTCGGATACAGATTGCACGGATGCGAACAAATCGAATAATGCCGTGGATGAACAATCGTACAAGTATACGCCACTTAAAACGTTGCCTTTGCAAACGGGCCATGAGCGAGTGGCAGAATTTCAACGAGAACTGAAACTCACCGAATATTTGCAGCCACTTTCAGAATCGCGTAAAATAAAACGAGTAGATTCTGCCGTGGAGGAAAAGATAGAGGCGAGTAAGCCGACGGAGAAGGAGTCGTTGGCCGTAGAAATCAAAGAGGCGGACAGTGGGGAGAGCGCGCATCCTTCCCCGTGTCCTGACAACAACACCAAGTTAAATAACCGAGATGAGAAAGCGGAAACGTCGAGCACGATCGAGGCAACGAGGAGCAAAAACGAGAAAGACGCGAATGCAACTGAGAACAGACGACCATCGCTCATCAGAGGAAACACGTTCGAGCTTGACTCTAACGACGAGAAATTATCCGTTTTGAGACAAGAGTACGAGCGTAGGCAAGGTAGCCTCATTTTTCAAAGCGCCATTCCACAATATTCCGGACATCGTGTGGACGGAGATTCCATTTGTCACCACGTACCTCCCGATTCTGTAGTTCCGCGTCCTCCGCATACCGAACCGTCGTCGATCACGTTCACTCCCGATATGCGGGTCGCCGTTAATACTCAGCATTCAATGTCGTATTTATTGGACGGTCAACGTGGACAACAATACGAGATTAATCAAACGCAAACGCAAACAACGTACTTACAGTCCGGTCTCAGCGAGTCTTGCGCGGTTTATCCGGTTGTCAAAAGTGCCAGCGACAAATCTATCATGGATCGTGGCGTGGACTCGGACGATGCGTCGAATCCGTGCTGTAGCAGCTTGCCGGTTACCTTAGACTCTATTTTGGAGAAAGGTAACCGAACGGAGCCTGTAAAGAGAAGTAAACGAGATGAAGCCACTCCGATTATTTCTGGTGGTGTTAGCACCTCGGATTACTCAAAACCTTCGGACAGTCCCACAGTGCGACGCAAAACAGAATCCACACCGATCGTATCGGGTGGCTCGGTGATTATGAACAAGCCTGAAGTCAAAGTCAAGTCCTCCAGAATGTCTTCCTCCATGACTGCCTGGGTGGTCGACATGAGTGACTGTAATAAGGAGGAGCCGAAATCTCGAAACACGTCGCGGAGCATGTCGCAAAGCTTTTCCACTTCCGAAAGCATCAGAAAATCCACGCAAAAGTCGGGCACGCATGAAAAACACGGTAGTTTAGGCTTCTTTGTCAATCTGAAGGATGTGAACGATGATGTTAAACGTGATCGTTCACTCGAGAGGAAGCAGGAACGCGACGGCAACGGTAAGCCTTATTGTGAATTTTACGTAGATATCTCTGACAAGAATAATAGTGTTAAAGTCAAGTCTGCCGAGAGGCAAGATACAGGCACGATAAACGATATTTCTAACAAAGGTGAGGAGAAGAAGAACATCTTCTCAATGTTTATCGATCTAAATGATACGCGTGAGACCGGTGGAGACGCGGCGGCGGTGGTTGTGGCTCCGACGCATAGGCGAAGCTTCTCGACGATTATACCTAATAAATTAACAGATATTAAGACGGATGATAGTAGCTCCAGAGATAACAGTAGCGCCACGGGAGATAATCAGTTACCGCAAGAACAAAAGAAGGAAAAAACAAAACCTAGCGTCTTTATGTTTATAGAATCCGATTCTCCTGTGGTGAGAAGACGGACGCTATCTACTTCACGACCAACGTTCAAGCGGCACTCGTGGAACGTAGACAAGACACACGCGACAAGTAGCGGTAACGCCAGTAACGGCTGCGTCGCAAAAGAGCTTATGTTTAGAAGAGAACACAAACGTGCGCACAGCGTGTCGATGGACAGTCGCGGCATTACTAAACAATTCCAAGCGAAGACGAGCTCGTCCAGTCACTCGTTGAGCGACGCGGCCAAGGCGGATTCTTACAATCATAAAAATTTCAAGACACTACAAGAGCGTGAGATCAACTCCAACAATATGGACACATCGTCCGAGGATGTATTCGAGTTTGACGTAAAGGACACTCCACCAAATTCTCACGTGGAGATCGAAAATGAACAACTGCGCGTCGTCAGCGTGAATCACTGCGAATACAAAGAAATAGTTGACGATCACGTGGAGAATTTGGAAACTAACGAGACGAAAGCGTACGAGGATGAGTTCTCGGAGACTTCCGCTTGGGAAAAGACATGTACGGAGAGCACGGAAGGTCACACTCGCAAAAGTGAAACGTTTGATATCAGTAGTGGCAGCGGACCTTCCCCATCGGATAGCGACAACCACTATTACGACGTGACTGATGTGTTGAATTCGAGTGTTAACGATAGATCACAACTACGTGCTGCGGGAAACAGTAGTAAGATATCGGAAACTCGCAAGTCGTTGAGTGAAACTATAAAGAAAATCGAGTGCGAATTGAAGGAGCCGGAATATAATGGCGCGGATCAAACGTACGATTGTCGTTTTTCGAAGAAAACTGGAAAAGTGCCTGGTCGTACGTTAAAGAATTTGCATTCAGATTTTCATAAGACAAGTACTTGCAGTTTTGTACGTCTGTCGGATTTGGATAAAACGCCAACGGCTAATCACGCGTCGGACGTGTTGACGGTGCAGAAGGATGACAGAAGCACGTATCGGATGAGCAGTAGTATCCCGGAAACATCGTGGATAGAGAGCAAGCTGGCAGTGACGAGGAATAACGGCCCTGCAGTTAAACCGGTCTCTAGGAAACTCGCTTCTGTTATGAGCACGTCGCTTCCATCCAAACAGAAGTCTCCGTTGGAGGATTTGACCGGTGATTGCGAAGCGGAAGGGATTATCTCCGAATCTGATCTCAGCAGCATGCAAAGTAGTATGGGACGTTCCGGAGCGGGTATGTACCGTTTGGAATTTGTTAACTTAAATCGATGTAAACAATAGTATAGTAACACGTATTATATACTTTCATACGCATATTATTTTCATCTTTATGTTCGTACGATAAAACTATGACAAAGTCGTACAACATTGGATAGGCTTCGACTATATCGATATAAAATCGATAAAATAACGTTTTCGTGAAAAAAAATTGTTAATTACAGAAGGCAGCACAGAAGAAACTGAAACGTCAAGCATAGCTGGGGCAAAGCCATACAATAGACTGGGTGAGGATTTATTAAGGATGTTCTTGGAAGAAATCAATCCTGACATTACAATAGATGTAGCTGGCCGGCATATAAGAGCACATAAATGCATATTAAGTTCTCGTTGCCAATATTTTGCCGCAATTTTGAGCGGCGGATGGATTGAAAGTGCAGGCAATGTTATTTCTCTACAAGGGTATGCATAAAACATAAATATATAGCATGTCTTGGAAAGAGTTGTATAATTTGCAATGAGAGAGAGGGAGAGAGAGAGAGAGAGATTTGTTATCTCTATATACTTGGTAGTCGACATATTTGATACTTAAAATATATGCTATTTTATATGCCATTTTACATAGTTATTATTGGGTATATTTACACGAATATATATTTATATACTTTTTATGAATATTTTTAACATCACGAATTTGTTAATATTTCTGTTTTAGGTATTCTTATAATGCAGTTCATTTTGCATTATGTCATATCTACAGTGGAGAAAGTAATATACCAGATTCTATAAGTATCGTTGAATTAGCGACGTTAGCAGATATGTTGTGTTTGGAAGGTCTTAAAGAAGTTATAGGATACACGCTTAAGCTTAAATATTGCCACCTGTTTCATAAGGTAGATATATAAATTTTAACCCTTAAATGCCACACCTCAAGAATCTCGTAAATGACACATGGGGTCTAAAAGACCCCAGCATGAAAAATGTCTCCTACTCATTGATTTTTTTATATTTAATTATGAAAATTACTTTCAATGTTGTTCAAGGCTTAGAAAAGAGAATAAAATGCTTATATTGTTAAAATTTCAATTTCAACATAGTATAAAAAATTAAGTAAACTGTGTACTGCTAAGTGTACAACCGGGTAGGTCAATCTCTCAACTATCATCAATGGGAGCATGAGCTCCATTTTTGGGGGGAACATTTGAAAATATATCATTGTAAAGGGTCTGGGGTCCGCTGGACCCCGGGTGGCATTTAAGGGTTAAAAATGTATTTCTATCTCAGTTTTCTAACAAAGAAATTAATAACAATATTAGTAGTGCGTAGCGCATATAAGATATGCGCAGTTGACTGTGACCGGTAACTTTTGTTAATCCACTCAACATTCGAAGTGAACGTGTTGGTACAATAACTATGTAAATTTTTTTTTTTTCCGTCGCAGGATTAGAAATCCTAAATTTATGTCACATCTAATCATCATTGGTCCATTTAATCTTGAATATATAATCTTTTACATGTCTTTTCAACGTGATATATTTTCTCAGAACGTTGTTATTTTTCAGCCTTGCCAAATATGTGCCGTTGGAGTGTTGGAATGTATGCCGTTGGCGGCAGCGTATGGTCTGGATGAGGTATATCGAAAATCACTTAGATGGATTACGAAGCACTTCGTACGAATATGGCCATGCAAAGCATTTGCGACTCTTCCGAGAGAACTTACGGAAAAATGTTATCATCAGCACATAGTGCACATGGTACGCACATAAAGAAGTTGATCGTGTGTTAATCATAACGTAGATATGTATATGAACCGTGTTGAATATTTCGTTCGATAAGAAATTGTTAATGTTTACGATCGTGACAACGCTGTGATTTTGAAATTATAAAAGTTTCGGTACACAGATAAATAAATTTTGTTATGTCTTATTGATTGTATATATCTTTTTTCTTCCTGTAATTACACAGTCCACCGACAACGTGCTACAAACTATGATGGATTGCGATAAACTGTTGGCAACCTTACCGAACGTACGATGGGCAGAGCCGGTATTTCGAATGGTATCGAATCTGTTGGAGACGTCGATAAAATTCTTGTCGGAAAATTTCGCAAGTGTCTTGGGAAACGATAATTTTCAATCGCTTGGCCGCGAGCTAACGTGGAACATCAGCCGTTTGGAAGATCATTTTCTAGCAGCCGTCGAACACGTGCTACCCGAACAAGCGTGCAAAAGTTATTCGAAATTGAATAAAATGCTAGTCACATCGCAGACGGATGATTTTCAAGGTAAAATCAAGTGGGGACCACTGTTTATCGATTTCATCCACAAGCTTCAAGTCCGTGTGGAAAAGTGCTTGGTGCGTGATGCCGCACGTGCTGCGAGAACCACCGCATGGTTGAAAATGGATCTAGAACTTCGCAGGAGAATACAGGAGCTAGCTTGTCTCGTAATCTTGCCTCACGAGACCTCGAAACATCTATCTAGACACTCGAACTTTCTAAAGGCAAGTATATTATCTTCTTTAAAATCCACATTATCTTTTCTAATAAAGTCATTCTATAAAATCATTAAAGGAATCTCGTGCGCCGCCAAATCGTTCGACGATAAGCCGCAGCTTGGATTTAAAACGTGTAAAAATGGCGATTTCGGAGCACAACGACAAAACTTTAAAGCAGATACCGTCATCCACCAAACCAACCAAGAAAGTTTTATGTAAGCCAAAAACAGATCCGCTCGAGCGTAAAATGCAGGAAGATAAACAAATTACTTCTGAGACCGTTAGACCAAAATCGTGGCCTAATAAGATAGAGGTACGTTTGTAACTTTTGAAACTTTTAAGAATATTTAAAACCCATAATCTTTTACCGCAGCTTTACAAATGAATTATATATGTACCGAGAAGAATCGTCATTTATCAAAATAAAACATACGTAAAACTTGATAATTAAAACTCGGATAAAAATCGAAAAAGACCATCTCTCTCGATGCCTCAAAATTTTTACTACAAAATAATCCAACGTAATCAAGTTATCATTAAAATTATATGATTAAGGTGTTAATATAACGTTGTAGGTAAAATCAAGATATTTGGAACCAAGAAACAAACCTGTTCCAAAGGAAAACGTGCCTATGCATCACGACAAAATCGTACAACAACGGCGCAAAATTATGATTTCCTCGTCTGATTCGTCACGTACTTCGAGCCCGGCGATGAAACGTGCGACGGATAAAAAACCACTGTCCAAGATGAAGCTACCAGTTAGGAAAGATGTAAAAGCTCTCTCGTCAGACAGCTTAACGGAGGCGAACGCGGGTCGAACTGGTAACAAAAAGGATTTGATCAGCAAAAGTTGCGCTATTACGAGACCCGAGTCACCTTCTTTTAAACAGAAAAGTACCGAAATAGGTTTATCGGTCGATTCTTTGGAGACCAAGAGTAAACCGGTCACCGTTAAAAAGAAAGTCAACAAGATGGATACATCCATGTCTACCGATAGTCTTATGACGGAGGTAACGACGACTCCAAAATCTAATGTGTCCAATAAATTGTCGCCTACTTTAATAAAAGCGAACAAAACGCAAACTTATGACAGGTGAGATGGAATTTAATATATTGATCCTAACAACTACTGTGCGTTCATTTCGACGTATATTTGATTTTGTTTCGTCCTACATTAGTAATCAGATTTGTTACGCCGTAAACGTTAGGATGAAAAAGAGCTCACCACCGACACAGCAGAGGAGCCCATTAACGATCACTAAGAGGCCTCTGAGATCCGTGGAAAGTTCTACCGCCGCCAGTCGCAGTAGAGCCGCTGCTATCAGTAGCACGTATCATGGTTCACCGAGTTTACGCAGAAACTTATTAGATGCTGCAAGGACGCCGGACGTCCCCGGTAAACCGGTGAATACAGTGGCTCCTTTCAGGACGCGACTAGTCATGCAGACAAACGTTCCTCTCAACGCGAGGAGAGAAAGGAAGGAAACTCAAACGTCGCAGAGCTCTGATAGCCCTAGCAAGAAATCTTCCCCAAAGTCTAACATTAGCGGTAAGATGGGAGGCAGCGGCAAGTCAGTGATCGCCGGCAAGAAAATTGTCGGTAATAAAGCTGACGACAAGATCAAAAAGTGCCATACGCAGGAGGCGCAAAGGCAACCCACGGTAGGTTCGAGATCTGGCACGTTCCTCAAAGATGAACCTACGATACTTAAGAAAGTGGACATTAAATCATCACAAATTAATACTTAATGTTACTAATGGCTGGATAATTATATCGATAGGATATGCATTGTCGATACGATATTAGTTGCTGTCTATTAATGATACTACACTTGTATCAGCAAGTAAAGATTTTTTCATCGTGAGATCGCTTATAATCATATCATAATAGTAAAGATTCCAAGATATTGATATCCTTAAAATCATCTCGCATCATCTCCATACATGTTATATTTATACATGAGAACTTCATAAATATAGATTTTTTTTATGGAAGCATATCTAAAATTATTATCGTTACTTTAACGCTCGTGATTATATCACCATAAATGTTTTACACGTTGTATATATTAATGTACTTCATACATATTTCCATTTGCCCTATATATTTAATAAAAAGAATCGTCGACAATGCATTAGGTAAGCGCGCGTAATAAATCGTGATTAATGGAGGGCTGTCGCTAGTAACTGCGAACGTGATAATTCCAACAGAGGAATCGTATTATATGTAAGATAGCGAAATGTAATTTTAATTTAAGGGAGGTTGGAATTATCGTTAAAAAAATACATTTGAGCTGCATTTATCAATTAAATAGAAAATATGCTACGATTATCTTATGACGCTAGAGGCGATTATTTAAAAAAACGTTCTTCAAATTTTATGTGAACACGTTCTCATATTTTCTGCTTTTCTAACACGGTAATGCAGGTCGTACAATCTCAGTCTGAGAAATCAAATATACAAATTATCCTCGAAAAAAGTTTCTGTATATATATATAGCTATATATATATATAGCCACACAAATGAAAAGATATTACATACAATACGTCTTACAAAATTTTTTCGAGAAAAACTTTATCCGAAAACAGAAATTTGTAACTGAGCTGCATTTTTCTTGGATTACCATGTATTGCACAATTAAAGTAAGTGAAGATTTCACACACCACACACACACACACACTAGCAGCAACAGCAGCAGATAGAAAGATTATTGACGGCATTGTACTTAAATATGAACAAAATCTTGATTACATGTATACATTAATGTCTCGTAGTGCTGCATACGCAGCATCTCATAATCCATAGATAAAAAACGTGGTCAGCGACAGAATTATGTTTAGAGATAGCTCTTCCATTCTACCACGTAAATATGCCATATCAGTTCGACGTACTTTTTGGTAACCGAACGATTTTATTAGACGCTGTTTAATTATTACTACGTGAGGTTGCCATTGTATGAACTACGTTCAAATGCAAGCGAGAAACGTGTACCTTCTTTGCTTGCAATTTTTTATCGATCGTGTATGTACGTGATATATTTATTTGTTAAATTTCTATCTATTTTGCAATGTAAATTTTTATGCAATATTTGTATCTAGTCATTTGTATATTTTAAAGATTTCCTTTTTTGTCTAATGTTTTAATAAATACGTCGATATCAGATTAAATGTTTATCATGTTGTTGTGAAAAAAAAATTATTTCTATGAAACGTACTTAACGCGAAGCTAGAAAGGTTGCAACATTTTTTTTCGATTTTCCAGAATCAAAAATTTATAAGATAAAGATTTTTGCGCATTTCTGAAATTTATTTCAAGTGTTGCAGCCTTTTTGTTCACGCGTGACAATATGTAAGCGAATAAATTTATTTTAGCTGGACAGTAAGACAGTAACGTAATGTACATAATTACACGTGGTTCTCCATAGAAAATCAATTAAACGTCCAATAATGTCCCTCTTGGTCTTGCTCGTTTCGATTCTGTTTCAGTGGATGGTATAGTTTTTCGTTTATTCATGCCTTTTCTCTCCAACTGCTTTTCTATGATACGTGCATTGTTCGCGTACGAGTCAGCGACTTCTCTCTGAAATTACACGTATTTTTTAAATAAAAATCGTTTTATTATTAAAGGAAAACAAAAGATATAGATTAATTAAAAGATGCATCGTAAAGTAAAATACTAGGTAAATGAATAAATATTCTATATTCAAAGTAACTGTGCGTAAACTAGAAATCTTAATATTAAATTTTTAATATGTATCTTGCCACAGCTACCACACTTTTTTCCCTGACTTTTCTGAATATCTTATCTCATAAATTAAAAAATTGCTCGCTACGTATAACACTGCGCGCGTGACGTACAGCTTCAATTTCATCCTCTTCTTCATCAATTGTGGACACTGTAACTGAGCTGAATTTGCCCATATTTTTGGTGTGCTTGGTAACCATTATTTTCTTAGGTTTTTCAATCGCTACTTGATTATAAATATCTGTCATAGGGCCCTCCCCAGAACTTTTGATTACCGAATCTTTTACTACAAATACTACATTTGCTCCTGGATCATGCTTATAATACAGCAATAAACCACATCTGTGGAATAGGTAACGTACATTAATATGTACATATTAAATACACTCTTTTTTTTCCAAGATGTTTTTCAAATATTTTGACATCACAAACGTATTAATGTATATCAAAATACGTAATAAAAGCTACCAATACATTTTTGGTACACGAATAAAAATATCAAGTATGAACAAAAGTAACGTCGTACTTTTTACACTTTTGTCTATATTGTTTTTCGATTCCCTCTGGACGCTTGAGAAATACAATCTCGTCCCGCTCTGATGTCATTTTATGAGCATGCTTACTGCCATCGATTACCCTTGCTCCATCTCTTTTTCTCAGTGGTAATTTTTCAATGGCACAATCTACAAATAAATGCAAGACACAATATTTACAAAAATTAAAATGTTTTATTATTCTCTCTCTCTCTCTCTCTCTCTT